AGTATAGGTGTCCATAGTTCTTCTTCAAAACTGACAGCTTCCCAAAACCATCAATTCCCTAATCAATCCTTTATGAAAAGGGTGCGAAGCTTTTTCCTGAAGAACAGTATAAATAGTAATTCTTAATACTACTAAGCCAATGGTTGGCTTTCTGAGAGTATTGATAAGTATAGGTTTCCATAGTTTTTTCACAAAACTGACAGCTTCCCAAAAACATCAATTCCCTAATCAATCCTTTATGAAAAGATTGTTCCTAAACTTTCAAGGTAGTAGACCAGGAAGGCCCGTGATCCTCAATAATGAAGTTGTTTTAAGGGTCCTCAATTGTGCAAAGTGTTTTCCTGAATAAAAATATAAAAGGGTAGTAATTCATCACAGTTGATCCTCATAGTATTATAAGTAGTGCTACTACTACTACTGATACTACTACAACTACTATTACTACTACTACTACTACTACTACTACAACTACCACTAATGCTACCCCTACTACTACTACTGCTACTACTATTACTACTACTACAACTACAACTACTATTACTACTACTACAACTACAACTACTATTATTATTACTACTACTACAACTACTATTACTACTACTACTACTACTACTACTGCTACTCCTACTACTACTACTGCTACTCCAACTACAACTACAACTACTACTACTACTGCTGCTACTGCTACTGCTACAACTACAACTACAACAACAACTACTACTACCACTACGACTACTACTACTACTACTACAAAGAGAGAAAGGAAAATTACAGTAATGCTACAATCAATTACTACCTCCCGCGCTCGAAATCCACGAGTGAGACGTGGAAAGAGCCTGTTGCCCCACCACAGATGAGGAAACACTAAACAGCTAGAAAAGGACATGCAAGGCTCAAAAATCTGACAAGGAAAGCTTCCAAGACTCCAACGTACGACCGGCCCCAGCGGAAAAAATCCTGGCCAATGTCACTCTCGTAAGGTCCGTATGAAAAGGTGTGCAACCCTCGATGCATCCTTGAGGCATCACACGCCCGCATGAGCGGGGGAACGTCGAGTTGAACTTTCCAGGAAAAGGATCCGCATAGTCACTTTTGTGAAGTGCGAGGAGACATGCTCGCAGTGGCTTGTAGATGTCGTAAAAAGTGAGCTGTTGTTGGTCTCCTTCAAGGCGGAAACCTTCACAATGAAAGCAAACTGTAAGTTCAGAGAAAGAGAAACTCTGCTGATCATCAGGAAGCCACTTGAGTGAGCGGAAAAAGGCACACAACGTGTGCCAGTCACGTTCCGGGCGTGCCCATCTTGCAGGACAGGGGCACTGAGCAGGAATCTTAGGTTTCCATGTAAAAAGAGAGGGACGTAGACCCCACATCCACTGCGGAAATCTTGCTTTGCATTGGTCCGGTGTGACGTCAGCAACTGCTTCAACCCTCGGGGCAACCTCAACATTTGTAGGTGGAACACTGGTAGGTAGAAGCCGGTGAAGGTTAATCAACCACCTGTGGTGCTGTAAAATTGCCTGGTCAGCCTGACGCTGCATTGCACAATCAACCGGAGCTAATCTGTATGCCAATTCCTTGGCAACTAAATCCGCCCGCCTGTTGTGCAAAATATGTTCTTTGGTAGTGCCTGCACATGCGGCTAACTCGTCGGTGAGAAGCTGATCCGGTACGCGCTCAAGTCTGTGGGCTGGTACCCACTGAATCAAGAACGGTGGATTGACAGTTTCTTGCCTATATCTGTAAAGATCCCTGAGGTGGCGCCACCAAGTGGAGCACAACCAATCATCTCCGATAACACCGTGGTCAAACACTTCATTGCATTGTTGAACGACTGTTAAAGAATCAGAGAAAATATTTGTGGGACCACAAGCTTTCGTACAAGCGACCACTACCGCCCACAGCTCGGCTGTGTAGGATGCCAAGTTCCATGCATTCACCTGGCCTTGGGAAACGACTGAAAAATCCTCCGCAATGACCGCGTATGTAGCTGTCGTGAGCCAGAACTTGGTAGGAAATATCACCGAACCGTCTGTCCAAACTTTTCGGAGAGGCCCCAAGGCAAAATGCGCAGCACATGCGATGGTGTTGGTATCGAGAGACAAAAGCCTTTTTCTGCCAATAAAGTGTGGGTGTTGCACGTGCCCTAACATCAAGAAGTTGGGGCCGAATTCGTGCGGGATGGGCGATCCAATAAGTGGATGAAGGGCAGTACACTGGACCAAGTGGGGCATGGACTCCTTGGTCTCACCACAGAAACGGCATACTGCGGACTCTGTCCATCCTGAGCTTGCCATGCGATCGTTGGTAAGTGTACATCCAATAACAACTGACTCAAAGCGAGAGGAATCTGAGATCACACCTGGGACGGTTTCTTCTTTTTGTTGGAGAATCAAGGTGCTTTGTGTAAAGTCAAAAATTCCACTTGGCTTACAAAAGTCTTTTCGCCCGTTATGAGGGGTGGACACATAACATGCATGACGTGTGATGTGCTGCATAGCACGCTTAACATCGATGGGGCGGACCTTGGTGAGGTCCAACGGCTGTGATCCTTGGAAACTCAGGCCAAGATCCGTGTTGAGTTGTAAACCTAACGTGTGAGCAGCATCGCGCAGTGAAAGCGCCAGGGCATGTTTGGTGTTATCGTGAGCACCAAGTGTACGCTTGAGCTTGGGGATGATTCCAGGAGCTGTGTTGCAAAGCCTGATGGTTTCAAAAACGGTTTGATAGGCGTTGGCAAACACCGGGTCAGTCCGAAAGGGTTGGGCATGAATGGCCTGTAAGAGGGTCCTAGATCTCCATTTTGGCCTGCCCACCCATAAGGCACGCGCAATAGCGCTTTGGATGGTCTGAATATCTTTCTTCGGAATCTTGGAAATGTGACATCCAAAGGAAATCTGAGGAATAACTTTGGCTCCAATAAGGTGAACCCGCGTCTTGTGGGGGATCGGAAGAGCAGCGATGTTGTCAATGTCCCCTAAGACTCGTTTCAACGTGGAGGATGGAAAGCCAAAGGATTCACGCTCAGAGCAGTACATGCGCGCACCAAGAACAATGATCTCCAGCTCAACAGGGAAGTCTGGGAACTCCTCACGCAAGGTTTTCCTAGCCTGGCTGGTCGTACCCCACATGGATGACTTATGGGGGTTGAGTTTCTGGCCGGCTAATTTATCCCACAGATTAGTCAAGTCAATCGCTTTCTGAAGCATAGCACTGTGGTGAAGGTGGCACCACATATAAGCGTCATCTATGAATGCTCGAGCTGAGATCTGTGGAATGTGTTCAAGAAGGTGAAACCATACCTTATTGTATGCGTTCATCGCAAGGAGGGAGAAGGAGCAGCCCTGGGCCACCCCGTTTGCGGGGGTGGTAGAGATAGGGGAGCACCAATTCCGATATGCAAGATGACGATGCAGGTTTTGGTAAATCTTCAAAAACACATTAACGACCGTCTTGGGAATGCCAAATGCAAGAAACAAGGCGGCTGCATACGAAGGGATGATTCTGTCGAATGCCTTAGCCTTGTCCAGTTTCAAGCCGATGAGTGGGGTGGCATCTAACTTGGCACAATCAATTTCAAGGCGAATCTCATTGTATAAGGTAGACATGTGCCTGTTCTTAATACCACCGAGGACACCTGATGGCATCACTGCTGCTTGCCATTTTTGGAGCTGGGCAAACCGGGTTCCCGTGTAAGCAAGCAAAAGGGCAGGCAAGACTGTGATGAGTCTTTTGTTGAGTGGAGTGGCCGGACCGGGTTTGTTCAAAATCATTTGCTTTGCACAAACGAGCGCATCGGGTATGGATTCGGATGATGTCTCCAACTCAGCAAAAAATTTTGCAACCGGTGCCAGCTCTTGGGCTGTAAGGGTGCGCAGTTCATCAGTGCGCCATCCATCAAGACCAGGGGCTGCGTCTATCCGGCGTTTTTTCAACTGCGAAAACAAGGCTTCACCTGTGATGGGAGGGATATCAGCCGGCACT